AGGAACAGATGATGTCCGCGTCACGAAGGATAATGTGTCTTGTGCCCATCTTTATACTAGAGACGCATAACCAGATGAAATACAAATGTTTGCCTAAGTTCATTCAGACGGATAATGGGTCCTCTAATATAAAAATGGCCATTGAGTCCTTACCAGCTGGGGAAGCTTGAATTTTGAAGCATCAACATCATTAGAGATCGTGGTCTGGTCTTATCTGCAAGAAGTCAAGCGATTATTTTTCCAGCCAAAAGCAGCCCTTTGGCCTTTCGACCTCTTTACAGCCCGTGTATTTGTCTTGTCTTATCACACTATAACGCCATAACATCAAACCTAATTTGGTTAACATGAACTGGAATTTCTGAGGGGGAGAAGGAGGTGAGGGTTGGACTTTTTCCAAAAAAAAAAAAAGCAATCCTGCACAGCAACAACTGATGAAAACAAAATCATGCAGGGGGAGCCATGGGAAAAGAATCAAGCAATTGCTTTCAACTATCACTGTTTTGATTTTTATATGATTAAAAATTCTTGCCCAAGCTACTGCTTGCACAATGAAAGTGCCCAGAAAATTGCCCTTTCCCCCCCCTCCCTCCGCCCCACTCAAAAAATTTTGTCACACCCGTCACACAACGAGTTCTAACGCTGTAAAACGTCGAGTTCGAAGAGGGTCTTACATCGATCTGATGGAACTAAAACCTCAGAATGACAGGTAATTTTTAATTTTGAAATATGACTACGTCACATGAAACCGGCAACACTGCAGGGGAAGGCGGCGTGGGCGGGGGAGGGGTGGTGGGGGACTGCGCACTATGTGCGTACTAGAAGAACGCAGGCTCGGAAGGAGCCAAAGCATGGAAGACCATTGAGAGATCATGGATGGAATCGCTCGAATCGCTCTGGAATCGCAGGAGACCGGTTAGTGCAATTGCTAGGTGAGTTGCAACTGAGTTACAGTACCGAAACACATCGAAATCCTGCTTCGGTATCGACAGTATCGTAAGGACAAACCTGCACAGATGCAAGTGTTGAACGCGATTGAACACAGGCACCGTATCTTGGTTCTGTTGCAAGCGCTTAGCTTTATGTTTTAAAAATGCAAGCATGCTGAAATCAATTTGGATAATGTACAGATCACATATTAAGGAAATCGCCTCGCTAGAAAAGCCACAATTAAGGTTGTCATTTTTCCATACATTTGTCTGTAATTAGACTACCGGTACTTTCGATATATTAAACTTCAGCATGGCAGCGAGGCTTAGAGGACACAAACAAAGAAAATTGAATAAACATTAGTATTAGCCGGCAGAGCAGGCGAGATTTTTTCGAGCGAGCGCTCACATCGTAAAAAGTTTAGCTGCAATCTTGAATTTTTCATGCAGTGGAAGACTGGAGAGAGAAAGAAAGTTTTACCAAGGGGGTGAATGATAGGCAAGAGGAAGGATAGGGGAGGGGGTGGAGCGATCCCCCACCGTCTAACATGGCGGTCGCAAGGTTGTAATGCTAACTCGCCCCAATAAGACGCCCTCACTGCAGGCTAAATAAACATGTTCATTCGTTTCTTTTGTTTGTGTCCTCTAGGCCTCACTATCTGGCTGAATTTTAATATATTGAAAGTGGCCTACTGGCATGAAAATTTAGAGACATTTGTATGAAAAATCAAAAGTGTAATTCCTCTCCTCACACCAAATCTGTGTTCTTCAAACAGACCAATTTCGATATATTAAAATTCAGCGTAATGCAATAGACCTCAGTATGAGGCTTTGAGGAATAAAACCCCACAAACTCTGTAGTTATTCCCCAGAGCCTAGTGCTGAGGTGTATTGTTTTAGGCTGGATTTTGATATATCGACATTGGTCTAGTTGGTCAACAGAACCTGCTGCTGGGTATCTTTTCTTTATAACTCATAAAATACTCAGAAAGTCAATCACTCTCAGCTTACTAGGCATTGAACTTCTAACTTTTCTTATACAATTACTGTAAATTTTGATGTGTTTGT